GTTGAAGCTCGTCACCCTGCCTGAGGCTCTTAGAGTTCAGCATGGCACCTCAAAGATCCACGGAGAGATGGCTGGCACAAATGTTGAAAGGAATCTCCCTGATGGATGAAATAACACACAGTATCAGGATGTGAATCACGATCAGCCAACGTCCAGTTCAAGTGTGTTTTACATTAAAGGTACGAATGATTATCCAATTGCGTAATTGTACCTAATATAGTGGCAGGCGTGAAAAAAGTCACGACCGAGGAGTGAAGCGTCGAGTGACTAATGAGCCCAACTAGCGCTCATAATTAAGTTTATATTGTACGTGACTTCAGCAGGAGAAAACATTTACAGAGAAATGTCGGCATTTTTTTTTAAATCCTGCGATAATTACAAAGCCCTCGGAGCATATTGTCGGCGGGCGTATTTATAGCAGGCGTGTAAAAGATGGAGGACAAAAAAAAAAAAGGTAGTGTGTTTTTTCGACTAATTAGCACTGCGTCGCTCTCCCCGTGCGAGTTAAGTTTAAGATGACACTTGTGCAAGCGGCAATGTGTTGTGTAATCCCATTTCTGTCCCCTCTCGCTCACACAGAACATCAATGCTTTGAGCACAATTGATATGCGATCTCTAAACATTGTGTAAGTGTTCGGTAGTGGCGTGTTATCCAAATAAATAGTTTTACAGCATTGAAATTGTGAACTAAACTGCATGTATTTTATTGCACTTTAAGTGTTCACTCAGATCTGTGTCAGCAGAGTTTTTCACAGCGCTGCTGACTTTCCGTGAACATTTCCAAAACATACAGAAACAAATTTGCTATTTTTAGGTTGTTGCAGCAATGTTAACATAAGGCGATATATTTCAGAAGATGGACTTTTTAATTGGCACCACATTTCCTAGCGGCTAGCTCGTCGGTCTCACAGGTTTGGAGCTTGGGAAAATAGAACAAAATGTCTTTAGAATGCACCAATATTGTGATATAATCACCGAGCGCTGTGTACTCGTGTTTACCATGTCTACCTCAAATTCAGCACCTAAATTCAAATCTTCACTCAGGCACTGCTAGGTGGATTATATTGACTGATTAAACCACCTAAATTTATTTAGGTACAGGAGGGCAAACCACTTACAACTACAACCACAATGATGAAAATGTCTAATTTAGAAAACATGTCTACCCTTGTAGAAATAGAAATATTGCACTGCACAACAAGAGTGTCCAGTAGTAAGAATGCTGATTTAACAATGGTTTATTGCTTGAATAAACTCATACTTGGGTCAGTGGAATGCAAGTTTAGCACACCCATCATTTGTGAAATTACACTACCAGGTATTTTTTTTGTGAGTTTCCTATGTCAGAAAATGTGTCTTTGAATTAACCGTTTAGATTTTTACCCGTTATGTCACAAAGTTGCTGATGTTGTTGTGGTACACTCGCCAGGCAGCGTCGAATCGGTTCCCACACAGGATATGGATGTGAATGGTCGTTTGGCTCTATATGTGCCCTACGACTGACTGGCAACCAGTTCAGGGTGAAATCTGCGTAGTCAGATGGGATAGGGTCCAGCAACTCCCCGCGACTCTATTCAGGATAAGCGGTGTTGAAAATGGATGGATGTATGCTATGTTCGAATGACGCTAATGATACCGCCGCTATACTATATTGGGTTTTCCACCCATGACTTGACAGCGCTAGCTAGGTAAAGACCTGTCTTTTTAAAATGGTGGCTGGACAACGCAGAACCACTGTCATGTTAAAAATACAAAAAGTTAAACAATGTTGTTGATGCACAGATTATCATAAACTTTTGTCAACTGGTACATCAACACACAATATAACGCACATGCTAGCAACCACTAGCATCGGCACCACAGCCAGAAAAACCTAGATGACCATTTCTATGTGGGCGGAAAAAAACAAAATCCTCAATCAAGCAGCATCTCAAAACAGATTGTGTTCAACTGCTTTGGTTCGACTATATTGCTTTTCAGAAGACATTTCCCCCCCCCCCCCCCCCCCACACACACACACACACACACACACACACACACACACGACTGTGGTCATCCGGCAGCTTTCAGCGCTTAATCTCATTCATTTATTTCTCATCAGCGAGTGATGGGAAAGTGAAAACATTTGTGTCGCATTACTTCACTTTGCTTCCTGGAAGCTCCATTAAAAAGCGTGCTCGCTCTCTCTCTCTCTCTCTCTCTCTCGCTCTATCTCACTTTATATATATATATATATATATATACATACATACAGGTATATGTTATCATATATTGGTCATATATCTTTACATATATCACTAATATATTGTCCAATATAAATTGCAATAATGATTGTAGTTACTTATAAATGCCAAATTACATATATTTTGTACAGTATAAATGCATGTTATTTTGCAATATATTGCAATATATGAAAAGCGGCAATCATTTGTATATTTTGCAATATATTACACTATATAACAATATATTATGGCCAATATATAATATATTGTAAAATATATAGATTGACAATATATTAAAATATATATAATATATTACAGTTAATATATTGGAAAATATATTTTTCTTTCGTAAGGGTGGAGCTGAATGCAAACACTTCCCATCAATTTAAGTAGAGCGCAGCTGGTTAACAACGTGTGTGTGAGGAATGTTAAACGCTTCAGAGGCAGACACAATTCTGAATGGCACCCGAGAGGTCAGACGAGCCAAGATGATGTGCACACAAATACCATCTCGAGAGAGGCACAGACGACACAAAACCATTCACACGTTTTCGCTGCTTCGCTTGCATTCGAACTGTTGCGTCAGCGTTTTACGAGACATTAGGAATTGTCCCGTTTCCTACAATAAAGTAAATGAAAGAATTAGAGCAAGACACAATGTAGTATCTCTCCCTTGGGATGAGTGAGCCAAGAGATGCCGATGCTTGCTGTAGCCACATATTCGGCTGCCGCTGGATTAGCCTCCAGCCGGAGAAAAAGCAGAATTGAAATGCAAATAAGACGAGGATTACTGAGACAGCATTCACAGCTCCTCGACTAACTGCCTGCGATGTAGTGTCTGAGCCTGATGATTATCCTCTATTTACCTACTCGTATTGATAGCTGCTTAATTAAGCATGTCATGAGAAAGGCGAGTGATCAAGGAAATAGTCGAAAAAGACTGTTTACAAACCGAGGTCAGCTACTCCACTGAGCCAAGTAAGGGAGACTGCTACGGTTATATAAAAATATATATTTAATAAAAGGTGCTAAATGAGAAAGGCAGTCGTGTGAACTTCAAAGGGGTGCTTCTTGCTCACCTCGAGGTGTGAAATTTGCTGCCAGAGCACATGAAAGGTCCAAATGTGAATTCACGCTTACAGTAGTGTCCCGAAGGCCATTGACTCCGCTTTTGACTCATTGAAATGCACTTACTATCTTTTGGGGCGTTTTAACTGTAAAGTGACGAAACGAGACGAAGCCCAAAGTCAAACATCATCAACAGCATTGGGTACATCAACATGATCCAGTACTATAGCAATTGTTTTGAGGGGGCGGGGTGTTGAATCTGCTGGCTGGTGACACGAGACAGAAGAATACAGTAAGTAAATAAATAATAACATAGAAAGTTGTGTTAAGGTAGATCCGTTGCGCACAGGTGTTTGGAGAACCCCTGAACTATAGCTCCCCTGTGACCCTTAATGAGAAGCGCAATGGAAAACGGATAGCTGGCTGGAGGTTCTGTCAAGATGTTCAGAAATTATTTTCGCCATTTTCATTCTTTTTTTGTCTTCCATATCTCTGATTTTATCTGACACTTGTGAGGATGAGAGATTTTGAAGTGATGAGCTCAGGGGCCAATACGGAATAATTTCAGTTTTGCACATTTAACAATTAAATTCCCGAGTTGATGAAAGAGAAGCCCACCACTTTTTGGGAAAGTCTGTGACAAAATCCTCAAATTTGATAAATGTTTCATACATCAAAAGAGGCCTGGCTTTTATTTGTAAAATAAACATTTGGCAACGCTACTATTTATACAGCAGCACCTCTACATAATAATATATAATTTGGGGTGATGGCACAGAATTACAAAATGTAAATAATAAACTAGCAATTTCTTTAATTAATGTATTTTACATCTACTGTCTTCTGCCTCTTGTGTCGTTTACAGCCAAAACATAGCAATAAGGCACCCTAAAAAAATCACTTTGACTGGAAAACAGAAAAGGGAATGAATCATTTTGGTTTGAAGCAAACTGAAGAGGAATTAATTTGTGTCACGTTTATTGTGGTTGCAGTTAGCATCGTAGGAAGGCACATCTAAAGACATCAAAATCAATACACTGAATTGTTTTTAAAAAATAAAGTCATGGTGCATCTTTTGTACCGGAATATCTTGGATTATGCACGTGTACTACTATTTTGTCGCAGAGCGCCCTCCAGTGGCAACAATCCTAAAAGCGGCAAATATTTCAAGGACAAACTATATAGAATTCTTTCACTATTGGCGTTACAGTGGCTGTTTTTCCGGCATTTGTTATGCGAATAATTTAATAAAGTGTAAATTTAATCTTGCTTATCAAAGACATGTAAATGCAATAACTACTTCCTTATCACATACCTGAAAGGTATTCAACTCCTTGCCTTTTTTCAAACATACTTTTATTACATTAAATGTTCACATTTAAAATATTTTATGATTTTTATTTAATGTGTTTTACTGACCAAAAACACCTTTAAACCGTAATTGCCCCAAGAGGTGGCTCCACAAAATACTGTACTGATTTTTATCAATTTTCTTGAAATGCATGTTTCTCATTTTGCTTTGAAAACTTCAGACAATTTTGTGTTGATCCATCCATTAAAGTTCAAATGAAGAAAGTGTTTAAATTCGAGGTTGTAATATAACAAAAATAGTAAAGAGACAAGGGGGTGAATACTTTTGCACGGCACTCTACACGTAACAAATACATTTGACTCATGACAGTGCGTGGACAAAGACAATGGCAAGATAGATTTTTTTGTTTGTTTAACAATCTTTGGGACATGTCACATTTTATTTTGACATACAGTGTAAGGGTGGCGTACACAAAAGTCACATCGCTTTTTGCTGTGCTCAGCACATACTCGTTAATCGACACGCTTGACAAATTTGTAAAGCATCCTATTCTTTTCAAGTCCAGCAGCTGTGTGAGGTCAAGCTTCCAGGCTGTTGTACAGCTTGCAATGAAGGTAGGCCATCTTTTCGATCCTGCTTTTTCTCAACATGGAAATCCAGTCGTGATAGCAAAGCTCTACAACCTTGTAACCCGCCAACCTCAGTTGCCTCCTCTTCATGGCGTGAAGGCCCAGTAGATGCTGTGACTGGTGGCAGTAGTGGTTCCTGCTGGACACCTGGATGGCAAGTTTAATGATAGTGTCGGAGTCTGCAGGTGCTCTGTGGCTGCTAGGAGTGGTGATCATTTCTGTGATGGTACTTGTCAGCTTTAGCCCGGTCTTAAACATCGTTTCTCCTTCATCGGGATTCACAAAAGAAAGCGTTTGAACTTCAGGAGGTGCGATTGTTGGACCTGGGAGGTTCTTGGCATTTGTAAGCTTTGATATGAGATCATCAGTCACACTCACTCCTATGTTCATTCCCCTCAAATCCTGCTTTGAAGCACATTTGGGAGAACTATTCTGAACTGCTGTTGGAGGTTCTGGGATGACAGGAACAGGCTGACCAGTAGCGTCGAGGTGCACTTCAAGGTCGATAGTTCGCATGTGGGGCAGGATCATTCTTTTACAGACAAACTTCTCTCCTCCCAGCAATTCTTGAAGTGCAGCCTCTGCCTCCTTGACCTCGAGCTTCTGGCACATGTCCGATTGGGCATACTTCCACAACATTTGTTTCACCTCTTCTCTCAGTTCGCAGCTCAGCCGAGGACCAGTCCACTGAGGCAACTCCAAAGCCACGGCTCCATCCAAAGTGAACAAGTCTTTTTTCAGCTCTAACTGCGTTGACTTAAGTGCTAAGTTGACAAAGTCCGGGCTCAAGGCTAACTCGATCAGGTCCTCTGGGAACTGCGAGACAAAGGCCAGGCCGAGAAGACCAGTGAGCAGATGCTCTGGGTAGCGGAGGAATTCCGCCTTCCTTTGTCGAAGAGCCTCTGTGAGACTCTGGTAAAAGCTCGGGCTCCGAGCGGGGAGGAACCCTAAGGTGCCAAAGGCCCACAAGAGCTTACATGAGTCTTTACTCCGGCAGTGTGGCACCAGTGATGGAATTCTCTCAGTGATTGCGACGAGGATGCGGTCACTCCGGTAATGCAATGCCGAGCAAGCCAGCGCCACATGCATCAGCCCCTTAACGCCCATCCCTTGAGCTCGCCGTGGTACCTCATGCGTCATAGCCTCCATCCACGCCCTATGAGACAGGTAGCTGAAACGCAGGTATTTCAGCACATTGACCATGGCAAAGTCACTCATATCCCCAACAAGAGAGTGTGCCTTATCGACAAGGCGATTCACTGCTGCCCCAGAAAGGGACGTTTGGGATTTGAAGAGGCCCAAGCAGACAGCGCCAACCTCCTCCGGCTGTAGTTGTTGTAAGTGTCGCATGAGTAGCTGCTCTATAGGCTGAATCAGGACTTTGGGGCACTGTCTCCCTTCTCCCATGATGTAAAACAGTTGGACCAGCTCCGGAAGCCCTATTTGTCCCATATACAAATAGACAGAGTCATAAAGTTGTTTTAGGAATTGAGGCACCTTCCTGCCAATGCAGCGCCACAAATCGGCTGCCAACAGCAACTGGTCTAAAGTCATCTTGTCAGCGCGGCGACTCAGCTCGACCTCGTACATCCCGAGGACTGTGTGGCTATGTGGCAGTTCCAGCCACACAAATGACCTCAGCACGTGCAGGAGCTCAGGTAGAGAAAAGAGGCAAAGGTTCTCCACGGAGTACCGAAGCAGCATGACGAAGCGTTGGTCGGTCTTCACTAATGGTATCTTGTCAGAGTTAGTGTGGCTGAGCTCCACAAACAAATGACAAACATCAGATGGTTTCATGCTGCCTTTAAGGACAGCCACTTTCTGGAGTAATCGCACTACCCGTTCCCATTCGATGGGGGCAGGTCGTTGGGAAATATCAAGTGTTACCGATGAATATTCAGGCCGGCATTTGAGAAAGGCACGAGTATCAACTTTAACATCAGGTGACACGGGTATTTGTTGGTGCAGCGGCACCACTGTGTTGCGTTCGGAGTCTCTGTTGAAGGCCAAGTCGAGCAAAGTGTTTTTGGAACTGGAAAGACGCCGCGAGGAGCTGACGCTGTAGCGATTGCTCTGCTGCCAGAACAAAGGAGCATGGGTGGGGAGACACCGCCCTTCGTCATCAATATCGCTTGGGCTTTGGGAGAGGGCAGATTTTCCCACGGGGTGGTGATATGAGGATGGGCTGTAATGGACCCTGTAGTCTTCAAGTTGAGGGGCATCCAAATGTTGCAATGCGGCCGTTCTATTGTCGTGCTCATCCGGCTCAATGTCAAGTTTGCTAATAACACGGTGAGAAAAACCCTTTCTCAAACCTGAAAGGTAGCGTAGCCTCGGCCTCAAACGACACAGCACACAGGCAGCCATAAATCTGTTGAATGAAAAAGACAAATGTAACAATTTACAGGGAAGTGTTCTTTTTTTGTTTGTGTGTTTGTCAGTTCGTTAAAAGGTTTTATCACAATGCAATGTATTAGTATAGACTATAAGAGTCTTTAGAGCTACACTGACAATACCAACCACAAATAGTGAAACAAATAGTAATAATAATGCATGAATACATTTGTTATCATTCTATCATTATAATATGACAAAAACCAAAAACGTTAATGTCATTTCTGCTACGAATGGCTGAGCATAAACCATTCAGCACACCTGCTACCTGCTATGACACCACCAAACCACACAGACACTTGCAAACGGTATATATTTCGGTTTTCCATCCATTATTGAGGAAGACAGTGACTGAGTTTATATCGTGTACTCTTTGTAATGCTGCAATTACCCACAATCCTTTCTTCAAGTGTGTCTTCGAACAAATAACAATCACAGTAAGTGTTCTCATAAGAGCACACTAAACTCACCTTTACCTCCCCGACACAAAAATGTAAACGTGATATTGACGTGAAGCCATGAAGTTGAGTTTGGGGAAGGTGAGCTTACCATGCAGTCTCCTGCAACCAGAGGAAAAGGAAATCGTGAAATACCATTACATTCAAAATAAAACTCAGACCCGTTCAAGGAACATCGTGAGCTGAGATGCAAAGTCACGAAGAATATGGTTCACTTTTCTACATATAAGTATAATCATTAATTATAACACAATGTTTTCCTGAGTCGCTTATGATGTTTAAGTGTAAGCATATTCACCCTGAATGTTCTTCTTTTGAAATATTTCGAAAATGTGAATACTTCCGGTAAAGGTGGCCATAACGGAATTGTATGACCTATGGCAACCGGGTAGTGTCAAACATAATAAGACGCAACGCGGATAATAAAACTAAAGAAGTACAACACATGCGGATAATGTATGAAATATTTTTCGTTAAATTACATTTACATTCATGGTCAGTCAACCTTCAGTCATAAATAGAATACATATTATGCATATGAGGGTTCATGTCGGAGTTTTTTAAATAATTTGATTTTTTGAAATGATATATAACATTTACAGTAACCTTATCAAATCAGTTTTTAATCAATTATATTTAGTAATTTACATATATCGAAACATACTATTTCTGAATTAGAACGAATAATATAACTATTCTGAGGAATCAGTGATACGACACAAACACATCATTTGTCAAACTTTACAAACTGAGGAAACCATTAGCAATAGTTTAATGAACTTTTGTTTTTTTTTCCTAATCATTTTGTCATTGCTTCGGAAATCGTGCTTAGCGGACAGTGAACTAAAATGTATTTCATTTTATATTTGTAGTGTGTAATTATCTTATTCATACGGTGTTTACACATAAGAGCTGGCCTTGACTATCACTCATTTTTTTTCATTCATGAATAGACAAAGACACCAAATGAGCCGGAATAACTCTTATTTGTTGATGTTTTTTACTTTTACGTTCTTGAAGGTTTAAGTAATTTAACATTAATAGATTGACATATGACATTAAATTTGCTGTTCAGAATTTAACAACATATAGTGTAAAAGATATTTGCAATCATGATCGGGACTTCCTTGATACTTTATTACCAGTGACATGTCATTAATTCAGATTAAAAAATGAAATAAAATTATGATCAGAAGTCTGTAGAATCTTAGCCAATTTAGGGTTAGCGAAAAGAAAATAGTGGTCTTCCCTGGCCAGAGCTTTTGTTTAATTGATTTTCCAAATTTGTTGAATGAACATCTTGAACAAATCAAACAAACAAATAAAAGCAATATAGGATGAGTAATTGTAGGTAAAATGATTTTAAGATTTTCTGTACCAATTCTTCTGTTTCATGTGTTTTTACATGCCGCTTTATCATGTTATGGCAACCTGAAAGATGCCACTTGAACTAAACTTCATTAAAAAAAAATAGTTTAGTACTTTAGTTATTTCTTTTTTTGTAACTAGAGGTCCTCAATCCAGAGCCTTCTACATGGACCAAAACAGGATATTTTGATATACAGTACTTGTCAGCAACTTTGCAGGATTTACTATAGGCAGCCAATCAAATCACTAATTATTTAGAGCAGTATGCGAGTGGATCGAGTGGGTGTATGCGAGGCTGGGTGGGGGTGGTTAGTCTCATTGAAGGAACAGCCAGAAAAATAGCTTTTTTATGAATATAGTACTCTATAGTCAGGCACATTTCACCTATTTTTATTCAACACGCCCAATATGGTTTGATAAAATGTCCTTAGGATGAATAATTAACAGTTTTATTACTTTTACCAGTTTGGTGTGAAAACCAGTATGAAACTAACATCCCAATTGCAACAATAAACAAAAAAATAATAATGGTCGTTTATTTTAACTTGGAAAAAAATAACACTTTTTGACGGAAGCTTTTTGTCCTGAAAAACAACTATTTTGGCTTCTAACTTGCTTTTGTTGCTGAATAAGTGAACCCGTGCTTGAGGGGACATTTCACAAAGTAGCCAATCATGAGAAATAATTATCTTCCTAAAATGAAGATAATATTTAGCAGGATAGTACCTATGTATAATTTTAAAAGACATGTCCCTACGTTCTTTGGAAGAAGTTATTTGTACGGAAGAGTTTTAATTAAATCATGATGTCTAACTTTTTTTCCCTGATGTGGAAGCAAGAATTTAAATTCAACTCTTCTTTTATTATTTATAGTTTTATTATGGGGTTTTATTGTTTTGTTCTTGATTGCATCCCAAATTGAAGATGATATTTAGCAGGATAGTACCTATGTATAATTGTAAAAGACATTTCCCTACTTTATTTCTAAGAAGTTATTTGTACGGAAGAGTTTTAATTAAACCGTGATATCTAACTTTTTTTCCGATGTGGAAGCAATAATTTAAATTCAACTCTTCTTTTATTATTTATATTTTATTCTGTGGTTTTATTTTATTTTGTTTGTGATTGTGTCATTGAGTGTTTTGAAAGGCGCTTATAAATAAAATGTATTATTATAATTATTATTAGAAGTGTTTTTACTTTCAAGAAATCTTTCAAGAAATGTTTAACTGGTCATTTCAGTTGAGTTTGGAAAATCGGCATTGCTGTTGTATAAACCTTCAGCACTTGCATGTTATGTTACACGCGAAGATGGAACCTTCAACTTTTGAACTGCAGAGCCCTTGCTATGTCGCACATCAATGCATTTCTCTGGAGTGGAGTGTTCTTGGAAAGCGGCACTGAGAGGAAGTGGTTGATTTATGCTAATGAAGGAGTTGGGCTCCAGTGGCCTCAGTGGGTGCCGCCCTTCATTGAGCACATGCTCAAACCTGGAGCCGTTCAACTCGCGCCACTTTCGCAATCTTACTACCATTCACAAACACACGTCCAAGCGTCATTGTGGGACCACATGGTCGTGCTTGGCTCCTTTTACACCTCTCTCTATGTGGCGTTTCAGACTTTTTTTCCCCTCGTCACTTTTTCGTTTCTTTCTTTTTGATTACAAGAGAGTGAGTAAACGGTAAGTGTTCAAGGGATGTTTGTCCCCCCCTCCCCTCCCCAAAGTAAGCTAGTAGTGTGCGTACACCACGCGTGTTATTACGTGAAGAAACCTGTTGTTAGCCTTGTTCTCGTGCAAACAAAGTGAACTGTTTGATGTCTCAACGACAAGTTATTTTTGCTCAAACGGACCGAAATGTGCTTTATCGGCCACTTTCCACGTTTGGGGAAGGAGCGTAGTGTGTGCGCAGCGCGTGGTTACCTCTCCTCCATGGGTGAGGGAGATTTGAAAAGCATGTGTTGCTTTTTTTGCTTTCGTTTCTCTGCTCGCTAGCGACGTCCTCGCCTGTTTCCTGCGTCTTTCTCCCCCCCCTCCCGTAGCCTACCGAATCCCGCGGCTCGCTTAAAGCCGTAGTAAGCAACGCGTTGGGCGGGTAACGCTTAAAATTGAAGCGAGTTTATCTGCCGGATACTTAAAAAGTGGCTCCGGAACAAAGCGGCAGCACATGGGGGGTTGAAGCAGGCCGCGCGCGAGCTACGTTGTTAGCCAGCTAGCGGCTAATGCTAATCGACAAACGCGAAAACAGCGTTTTATGACTTCACCGTTTGACTAAACACCTATTTAAACAACTCTTGTGTACACCCCCCACGCCACTCAACGCAACACTGACCGACAATCTTTATTGTAATTGTTGCGTGCTTCCCATCAAGTTAGCTGCTGTAATTCGAACTATATGATGGTGGTGGTGGGGGGCGGGTGTCTAGCTAGCAAATTAGCTAATTTTGTACGTCTTTTGAACCATCGCTTTTCTTGTAAAACCTAACCTCCCCACATAACAGCCCATGTAAGCTGCACCAAATTGGTATATTTGTGCTTCAAATAACAACGACGTTTTTGGCTAACACATGCCCGCGCGTCTGTGTTTTGGTCAGCATGTAGTGCGGAGTGGAGGGAGCCGCAACGTGTGTGTGCGTGGGGGGTCGATTACAATTTTCCACGCAAACACAACGTAGTGGTTGGAGGCGCGCCGGGTTTTAGTGAAGTGCAGTCTTGCATTTGTTCTTGTTGACTGCACCCAGTTGGTGGATGCATGTTGCTCCCAATGCGGACTCGTGTGGGCGCCATGTTAGCGCGTGGGGGGAGGGGTGCAAACTGCAAAGTGTTGTTCTCCCACCCGCTTGTGTTCTCATTCATCTTATTTCTTGGATTCGATTGAGTTTCCAAATGGTCGAAAATTCGTCAGACTCACCCGGACGCAATTTTCCGAAAGCCACTCGACATGGTTCAAATTCTGAGCGTTGTATTAAAACACTCAAATAATGCCTTCGTTTAAATTAAATGGAAGGACCACTGGTATGCTTTAGTCGCAGGCGAGGTATACACTTTGAAATAACCATGTAACAGGTACCAGTAACGACAAATAATGTATCAAGAAAAAAATGTCGAGATTATAATAAACGAAATAACCAAAACGGAAATAAAAAACATTGTTTTGAAAAACGAAACAGCTTAATATAATTTATTGTGAAAATGTCCTTTGTTTTCGTCGTTGTCAATTTGATACATGGGCTCATTATATTTATTTTGGTATTACTGTAAGGTTGTACAAAAGAAAGAAGGTAATTGTAGTGTATTGTACAATACTTAGTGATTGACCATATACCTGAATATGTGTGTGTGTGTGTGTGTATAAAACTAATACTAAAACAAATGGAAACAGTTTCAAAATAAAAACTAACCAAATCTACCCTCTCCAAAAACTGTTGAGAAAAATTAAGATTCAAAAGAAAAAGTCACATCAAAATAATGAAAAATCACAAACTATTATAACCCTGACAAATATTAAGGGAGTTTTAAGAAACGGAAGGTGAGATGCAAAAAAACTGAGTACGAAGTGGGTCGGCAAGGAAAGGAGGAAAAAAAGACGTCTGTGGCAGAAGGAAGGCTGAAAAGCAAGTTTCAGTGACAAGAGGGTGTAATTGAAAGAAAACAGGTGTGAGGGAATGTAGGCAGAAAAGTAGGTTTTAAACATCTATTTCTCATGCTTGAATTACATTTAAATTGTGTAAAATTCCCGCTTAACATCGCACTTCATTTGTTTTTAATTTCTTGGTTGTTTCTACATTAATACAAATTGGTAACTATTACTGCTGTGGTGGTTTTCCCGCACATGATTAGCGAAGTATCTTTTTTGAAGTAAAGTAACAAAGGATGTAAGAGTAAAATTGGTCTGAGGGAAGGAGAGCTGGGGATCATGAAGGAAAAGATGTAAAGAAAAAAAACAGGTCTGAGGAGGAAGGAAGGAAGACAAAAGTAGGTTTCGACAAAGGAAGCATAGAAATAAGCTTGCAAGACTCAAAAGTGACTTGGGAAAGGAAGGAACGAAGGATGTCACATGCTCTAGTCTTGCGTGATATGTTCCAAGCTGATTATTCAAAACTAGTTGCTAAGTACACTATGTGCTTAGAAGTATACACTTGGGTTGGTTTGGAATCACTCAAGTTTTGCATAAGTTTTCTGGCTTCATGGTCATGAAAAATATATTTTAGTTTTACGTGTGTGCAATTAAATTGCCTAGCTTAAACCGCAGCAGCACACTTCTTGTAGTTCGCACAATTTATTAATCAAATGATTGCTTATAAATTTGTTGATTTTGGTCCATTGATTGTAAACTAATCTGTCTTAAAGCAAAATTAAAGTGTGCATCTTCGCTCCAACTAGCAGAGGTACTGTTGATTTAGTCAGCTGCTATCGAAAGAAACCGCTACAGTACATCCAAACAATGGCACAGCATTAATTAGTGCAAGACCATACTGGCAGTGAAATAGGGGTTAAGAACATTCAGAGGTTCTGTAATCAAGGGAAGTGACATGCCCCATCCCATACTTTCCACACAACCTATTTTATCAACATAAAAAACATTGCCGAGCTGCCCGGAATGGCATGTTAAGTGAGGCTTTTATTTGTTGCCATATTTTGCGATATTTATTTTGGCCATACCACAAAATGTAATCGTATAAAGCACCAAGCAGCAGAAAAGTAAATCGGTTCCATGACATTGTGTAATTTTTAAACATGCACGTGTATTGCTTCTGGGGTGATGTAACATTTGTGTGGAACCAATTGGCCTAAAATATCGGCCAGTTATATTCAAACACCAAATTCAGCACGCTCCTTTTAATCTCTCTAGGTAAAATTGGCAAGTGTTTTTAGCAAAGTAATGGTGTGCAATCAGTTGACAAATTACTATCTGAAAATAATTGAATGTGCTTTCCCTTTTTTGTTCATTTTTGGGGCGGGGTCTGTATTTGAAGGTTCAGTTTATGTTAAGTAATGCATTTAAATATTGAAATGGCCAACAGTGAGACAGTTTTCAATCTTATTAGCACATAAGGTTGTGGTAAACTTAAATGTGGGCATTTTGGATTATGAGGGTGCGATGTTCTTTGGATGGCCAACGAGGTGAGACTCCAAGTGCTGCAAAGTTATGCAGCCCATTTTGACAAGTAACAAGAGTAACAACGCGGTAGTCGGAATTCATAAGTCAGTTGATCAATACACCACATTTAATTTCTTTAAAATGTGCTGGCTTCCTCAAAGTAGTGCCGCTTTTAGACAGGCTTAATTTTTTTTCCTCATTAGAAGTGCTTTATTTTAGTTTTTATTAGTTTCTGTATTTATAGGTTTGTATACTTTCTCTCTCACATGGAGTATTTGTTGAGTTCAAAATACTTAAGTATCGGGGAACAGAATAAACTGCAATTCTCAAAGGACTGTTCGGCCCTTATTCTTTGCGGACTTATCATACTGATATTAAGTACAATAAAAATTAACTCAAATTAATCGACAGACGAAAACAAAGGACATTTTCACGAGAAATCTAGTTTTATTTTTACAAACATAAGATATCGTAGATGTATTTTCACGTTATTGTTTTTCATTCATGAATTTTACTTTTTTAGTTCAGTGTTTTGTTAGTTTTCGTTAGCTGTCGCAATTTCGGGTTTGTAGATCAAATCTTGAGTTGACCGGAAACAAATGAAATGGTGACGCACTCTTGATTTCTGCTTTCAGGCGGTGGAATGCACCTGGACCATAAACCAGAATCTTTTCAGGCCACTTTAGTGTCAAAGTGCTTACAGTGCAGGTAGTCTTATGAGATCTACTGCAGTGGAGGCACTTTCTGCACTACTGTGGCACGTAAAAAGAAAGCTTTTCCCCAAGACTGACGTTTTTCTACAGAGGGAATCCCCTTCGATCAAACACGGTATTTGCGGGCAGCGTGATGTCACTCCATGCGGTATTGAACTGCGCATTTTGCCTCAAGAATGTCAAACCATTGGGTGAGGTGACTTCCAAAACGACACACCTTCTGGTGCTTGTGCTAAGGTGCATCTAGTGCAGATAGTTAAGTCAACGTGCACCTACTGCCCTAAGTGCCCCTTCTGGCGTAAGCAGCCTGGACTGCTTCGTGTTGCCCTCCCGTAATTGTGCAAACACACCAGCGGCGGTGCTCTGTTAGCTTTGCGTGGTTGCGCTGCAAGAAGAACAGAGTTGTGCAAATCTATGCAAAGCTGACGGCGTCCTGTGTTTTTACAACCAACATGTACTTTTTCCTTTTTTTTTTTTTTTTTTTTTTTTCCCCCCGCCAATCGAGGAGCTGCCAGTCTCAGCGGTATTAAAGTGCTTATAGTGCAGGTAGTGTCATGACAATCTACTGCAGTGTGAGCACTTAAAGTACTTCTCGGTGACACTCCAACAAGAAAGAAAAGTGAGGGGACGCATCTGTGTGAACGTGACTTTCTGGTTAGTTTTGCTGGATTGCTTTCAGCTTTTCTATGCGGTGCTGTGCAAATCCATGCAAAACTGACCATGGAGCCAACAACAATCACGGCAGATTTGATCCTGGTCTGAGCAGGTCGGGAGAGGTGGCAATGCTCTGGATGTGCACGGTATTGCACTTGTCCCGGCCTGTTGACGACACTGGGGGTGCTTCTACGAAGGAACAGTTCACGGTGTGTCGTTTCTCTGTCTGATTTGTTCTTTGTGTGACCAACTTCTGGAACCGCAAGTGCCTTATGTACTTCTTTGTTATATAATGTACAAATTCAATTGATAGGTTTCCATTGAAGTGAAATATTCATTTCGACTACCCGTTATTCATGTTTTTTTTTCCCTGTCATTTAATGTTACGTGCTTGTATTTTTATCTCATCTGTCCAACACGTACCGGTAAATGAAGACTGTACACTAGTAATGGCCGTTAAGAGAATACGTATTTTTGTGCTCCCTGTGCTGTGTATGTCTGTTAATGTTTGAAAATATGATAATAAAAATTATTTTAAGACCTCAGTGAGATGTCTGCGTCGAAAAACAACATGCATGGGTTCATAGTGAAAAAATAGTGAGCATTACTTACCTTTTTAGAATTTATGTCAAGTGAAGAGAGGATGTTCAACCAACCGATTTCTGTAGGGGTTGTCCCTATTTTGCATGAAATTGGAGAGGAAGACTAATACTAAAAATGTGTTTATATATGTATAGGTATTACCAGGCATAAAATGAAGGTTCTGTTTTTAAGTCTACCTTACAGTTCTGAGGGTGTGGGTTAAAATCTCAGCTCAGGCCTTTTTTTGTTTTTGTGTGGAGTTGGCATGTTCTCACTTTCGGTTTTCACCCACATGAAAACATGTTAATGTTTGAGAAAATAAAGACTAAATTGTTCCAGACAATAGCAGCAAACTGACCTGTAACTATACAGTACTTATAATACAAAAGCATCATTAGTTTTCGAGTTTCGTATTTATATTTGCTCCCTGAGGAAGAAAATGCGCCGAATGGGGATTTCCTTGGTCACTCCCAAATCCAGTCCAACCTCCTTGTAGGCAAAACTACCACAATACATAAAATACTTCTGTAACTATAATAGATTTACGATATAAATACAGTGCCGTGAAATTAGGTTTGCAGCTCTGAAGTAAAAAGGAAAATCAATTTCACAAATGTAAAGTCGAAGAATATAATCCATTTATGGCTATAATGGATGTATTCAGTGCTAATTGCATGCATTTGAAGCGAATTACAACATTAAGGTATGAAAGTAGTACCATAAAATTGTGGTTATGATAAGACTTAAGAAGCGTCAGCATCAGGCCACTTTTCGAATGACGGCAAATGCAGTTTGACTGATTTTGCAGTTGCAGTTACGTGGTTGTCCAGCAGAGGGAAGCACCTGTACACAATACTGCTGCATTTCAATCTCGCTTGTTGGTCAATAAAACCATAAAATGTCCTCATCACGATCACTGAGCCATCATGAAAATGTAGCACAGTCATGAAACGCTGAGGTATTTAGTGATCAACCATTTGCACGCACAACAGTTTACTGATAAGTCTCAACATGTTTTGCCTTGTATGATTCCCCCCCCCCCCCACACACACACACGA